TTCAACAGTCTCAGCTCAGAAGAAGGGGTTGGGTTTTCAAGGTATTTGTTGAACAGTTTAGCCATCAATGTTTCCTGAGCATTTCCTCAGCAATCTACTGGATGCTGGGCTCCACTGAACAACAGTCTCTACTTCGTTCCCTTCCCTACCTCTTTTAACATATTCTCTCCTGTGCTTTTTAGCCAACAATAGTTCCTTGTTTGTCCTTCAAGGAACTACCGCCATTCTGATGAAGAGGTCAGAGGATTTCCAGCCCATATTCAACTCACTCTTTCCTCCAAATTGGGAAATGTTTAGATCTCTTTCCAGTCTGTATTATTCCTCCAATTAAGTTCCATAACAGTTTTACTCCTGAAATCTGGTAATCCTGTAATTCTGGTTTTGCAATCCTAAATTCAAGTGTTTCATTCCTTTGTTACAGAGGATTTTGCACCATAGAAGGAGTAAAGAAAAGAAGAAAATAACAATAACCACAAAAGCAATCCTTTGTGTGATATCTTAACCTCCTTAAAGTGTAGTGTGGACATCATATCAGGACCGTGCTTGAAGCTCCCGGTTTGCACTTTGGAGAGAAAAAGAAGGAAAAAAACTCTGCCTCTTTACTGCAGCTGCTGACCCTTTTCTTCCGAAAACTCCCTGAAGCCATTTCAGGAGTTACTCACCTATGTGTATTTAGTTGACTGATCACTGGCCCAGAGCTATTTAGAGGTGAACTGTGTTCCTCACACAGATCTCAAGTCAGCAAATAAGAGTACTTGTCAGCTGAGTCATTTCTGCTAGCTTTGCATTAAGCATCATGGCTGGAGGGGATGTATGGCAGAATTTAGTCCAACTAGGAGGGCAAAGGCTCAGCATCAATCAACAGCAAACTCCCTGCAACTGGGTCAACAAAGCAGGTGGAGTTCAAATGAGAACATGTCATAGCTGCGTACAAGAGGAACTGGCTCTCCACATAGCGTCGGAAGCAGGAGTATCTTCACTGTCATGAGGCTGACCTGATGTGGCACTCACACAACCTGATGGATAACTACACTTGAGCACAGTATGGCAGGGAGAGGACAGGCAAGCCAAACTATTCTCAGAATCACACTGTACATCCCAAACCTGCAACTTGCATGATGCAGACTGCAAATTTTATACAGAAAACTGGAGGGAGGAAGAATATCAACATAAAGTTCATTAAAATATGCTGATCAGGACAGGGAATGCAGAAAATGTGGATATTCAAGAGACCCTCAGGTCTCCTTTCCAAACACGTTTTCTTTTCCTTATTTGAATGTGTAATCAAACAATGGCTACAAAATCACTCCAATGGTGTTTCTGCCTCAGGGTTTCTGTCTGCTCAGAGGTCCACTCTTGTATTGCTGCAAAGGCACAATACAGAGAGATCACGAAGTGTTCCCTGCAACAACCAGCTTCATTTTCCTGTTTGATTGCAACAACCAGCTTCATTTTCCTGTTTGAAAAAACTAAACTACCCCTACAGATAGGCCCTGCCTGAAAATAATGCTCCAGAGCTGAAGTCTGCACCTCTCTGAAATTCAGATTCAGGATTTTGTTCAGACACATTCTAGAGATACAGTGGTGTCAGTGATAAAACTACAGTGCCCGGCTCTTCAGATATCCCTCCTCAAAGCCTGGGGGCAACTTGAGGTAAAAATCCAAGCTCATTTGAAAATTACAGGGAGGTTACAAAGATTTCAAAGCCATGCAAAATCCAGCAGCAAGCACAGCCAAGCTACCACCCTGCAAAGCAGCCTTCAAAACAAACGGCATGTTCAAAGGGCTTGTAAGATTTGCTCACATTGGACATTTTCCTAATCATCTCCAGCAAGAGTGGAGAACAGCAGCACTGAAGCACAGGAAAACACACACACAGTGCAAGGTCCCTGCAGCCAAGTCCAGCCTGTAAATCTGGGCAGCTGACATTACAGATGTCTTCCAGTTGCCCTGTTGCTAAGACTGGCTGTTCTGAAAAGACAGATTGAGGTAGGTCAGGGGGCACACACAAGACACTGCTCAGACACCTAAAATATATTGGGTCAACGAAGTACATCAAGACATGGGGCTGAGTTACTGGTCACCATTTAAGAGATTAAATTGGTGCCATGTCAATCAACAAACAGTAAAGAAGATGGCAGAAATCTTTTTCCCTTTCCATCTAATTTTTCCTCTGCCCATTTCTGAGCCTTAGTACCCAGGGTTTTAAAGCAACACAGCAGAAAAGATCGCTGGAGGGGATCAATGCCTGGATCAATGCTAGGATCAATTTTCTCTCGATACATGATTGACTGTTCCAGGGAGAAGTGAGAAGGCAGAGTGAAGTCAAGAGCTCTATGTCAGCAATCACAAACCTACATCAGCCCCCAGGGTGTAAAAAAGCTGCAAAGTTTCCTGATAACATAGGGTAGAGCCAAAGAAAACAAACAATGCTGTGGTATTCCTGCCTGGGAGGTGTAAATTCTCCATCACCTCCAAGCTTCTTGAGCCCCCATCAAAATGATTACATTATAAAAACTGCTGAAACCAGAGCTTTTCAGGGAGGCCAGTCAAGAAGTCACAGCATGACAAAAAAGTAAGCAGGGGGTGTTGTAGGGGTGGGAGCCCTTCTTTCCATGGTGGCTGTATATTGGCATGTATTAAACACAGACACAACAATAAGCAATAAATCACAGCCCAGGAGAAGTGCCAGGTGGAATGCACTGCAGGAAATTAAAACATCCTTCTCGATACAGTTCAGTATTGAAAGAAATACCAAGAAGGCCAAGTTGACTTATCACCTACATAGCCAGGATGCTAAGGGGAAACGGGTTCCAACATTTGCAGCTGAAAAAATTGCAGTTGATTAATTTCCTACCAAAATAAAAGCTAAGCTTAAAAAATAATATCACAAACAACCTTCCACACAAATAAATAAACAATGGCCTTCCTTGGCTTTCCTAAGTTTTTTTCTTTTTTCCCACCTTTTTTTCAAATGCACATTCTCTCCACAAGACTCAGCCATGGGGCAAAGGATCCATTGCAATGTACACAAGTATGCTACCTGGCCAGCACCAGAATTCAACAAATTCTGACCTCCCACATTGCTAAACATATGCACCCACTATACTGCCAGGAGAGCCTATCTTATGTACTTTGGTATTGCCCAGTGGCTGCCTTGAATTGCTTAAAATATCATAGAACTAGTTAGTGGAGGCAGAGGTTGAGTCTCCATCCCCCAAAGAGCTGGACCACTTCCTTATTTCATCGTAAAATGCCCTGAGAAAGTTTGTTTTACGAAAAAACAGCATTGGTACACAAGGTTCCCAGTAATATCAGCCAGGACTCAGTGCCATACAGTGCATAAAGGCTGCTTGTGGCCACCGGCAGACAAGGCAACCTCTTTGGAGCTGGGTTTTTGTTTTGCTGGGATAAGGTTATACTAGCACGGGACTGCCCTGAGGCCCTCAGGTCCTAAACAGATGGTGCTCCTGTGAGATGCCCCCAGCTGCCCTCCAGCCACTGCTGCTTTTTCCCTGATTCTCCCTTTTTTAGGCGGTTGAGCAAACCTCCACTGTTTGAGTTTTAACGGAAGTGTCAGACAAAGTACTTACGCAGGCTGAAACTGCGACATGATCTGTAAATTACTGGAAATCCAACCTCAAGATTAGGAAAAGAAAGAAAAGGAAGGACTCATTTCATTGAAACTGGATGTGGATACCCACATAAATATTCTCTAACTGAAAGTCACCAGGGTAGCCTGAAGAGGACAGCTGTTATGTCCTGCCTTTTTAAATCTCTGCTTTTAAGAGCTGTGAGGACAGGATGGCATTTTCCAGCTGTGGTTCTCTTTCTCTTACTAAACACTTTTGTGTCAGCCTGTCTATATAAGCAACTAAACCTTCACACATTAAACAATTCTGTGTCAAACTCGCAGCAATGATCAAGTTGCATTTTCTGAAAGGGACAATTAAGATGTTCACTGAAAATAGAAAAAGATGGCATTTTTGTATTCAGACATATTAATTTAGTACAAGCTGACAGATAAACTCTGTTTCTGAAAACAAAATGATGGTGACATTTTCTATACCAGTTTGGTTTTTTTTTGCAAGAGAACTGGGACGTCCTGCAATAGGCCATGAAAGAGGGAAACCATTTAGATGTTGCTAACAAAATCCTTCCTCGTCTAGCACAGAGGGCATCAGTTTTAGACAAAACTCACATCAAGGAAAGCAAAAGCAAGAGAGGAGAAGGAAGAGTATTTTTATGAGATGTAAACAAGCAATTACCCGCAGCAGACCACACTACAGACTCAGGGATATTTATTTGAGCATATGTCTCAATCAGTTGGTATCACACTATGCTTAAAGGAGGAATACCGTTCGGATGCAAAAAACTACTGCACACATTTTTGGGTGGAAAACTGCTCTGGAGCCAAGGCTGACAATTTAAAAAATGGTTTTTTTCCTACTTCCTTTAAAAGGTACAATCAAGGCATAGAATCTACCCAGGTGTAAGAGTTGTCACACATAGTTGACAGGAGCTATTGGTTTCCAAAAGCAATAACAAGTTGCCACACAGCCCAGCCCTGCCTCATCAGCCGTTTGAGAGGTGATCACTTGGATAAGCCAAGACAGGCTGGCTGCAACCCAAATTCAGAAACCTGCAGCCATACTGCCAATAAGAACCACCAGTAAAACACATGGAATTAATAAAAGCAACACTGAAATGTCAAGTTAAAAAAAAAAAAAATGTAGTATTGCCAAGCCTTCTTTGGTAAACATACAATTAATTTCTGATGAGGACTAATTAATATTTTAAAAAAAAAAAAAAACCAAAAACTGCTCATTCTCCTTGCTCCTGTCATGATTGTATCTATCAGAAGATGCACTTTCAACAGTGTCTTTTGTCTTGTAGTAATGAAAAAAGGCCCCCTAAACCAAATCAGACTGGAAGATGTTTCCCTGGTGTTTTCCTTTTTAACCTGAAGTGAAATATATCAGAGCTGTAAATTTGCTTACCCTTCTGTTCTGTACATGGAGCATCTCTCCAGAGGAATTTTTAGCACTCCATTATTTAAGCCCACAAAGAGTGACCTGTCGCTGTGCAGGATTTGGAGACTCTTGATTGCTTCCCGTTGTCCATCAGGGAGGATCTGCATTTCTTCTAAATAACAACTCCTCAGGCTCCTGTTAGTGGTAGAAAGGGCCTTCAAGATGGTGCCATACTCTAACAGAACAAGAAACAAGGCACAAGTAAATCTTGGAGGCATTGACTTCATTTCACACCTGCCTAAAGAGTAAAATATTACTGTCATCTTTACACAGCTGCTTTAAACCTAGTTTTGGTCACCTCCTGCCCATTGGTAGAGAGAGTTCCTACATCCTTACAACCCCCAGCAGTTCTCAGACATTACAGAAACTGCCTGTGACTGTGTTTCAATGGGAACCCGGAAGGATGTGAACCATCTGGAAAGTGACCACCTGGAAATGTTTCCAAGTTGGAGCACTGAGGCAGAAAATGAGTCTGGTCCCGTCACCAGTGAGTTATACAGCAAGGTGACCTGAGTTAGCAGGGATCATTTCTGGTGCCTTGAGTCTGTATTTCTTTAGGTTTATGGAGCAGATTGGTGTGATTTGATGCCATGACAAATGACAACTGATGCAGCAGCCCTGCTGGAAATCACAGAGGCCTCAGTAATAACTGCATGGGTCATGGATCTAATTGAGCCTCTTCCTGGAAGAAGCCATCTTGCCAGCTTGACAAGGGGATGTTATGGCATGAGCAGTGCATATAGATAAACATACATGTTTGTGTTCACGGTGTTCTTACCTAAACAATTCAAAGATCTGATAAACTGTGGGAGATTTATGATGGGGAAAAGGGGGCCGCCACACTATTTTTCACTAAAACCCCCAAGAAGTCTGTCAGCCCCAATTGTTCCTGAAGCTTAATCTTTCTATCCCAGTAACTTCTGTATTGGTGCCAAACTCAGCCAACCTCAGAGCTGGGGTTGGCTGCCATGAGATGTTTCTCCTTCACTTTGGAGGGCCTTAAGTGTGCAACAAGACTGAGGCCCAAGTTTGGGCTCATTTTGTTTCAGGACTAGGTTTGTGTTCAGGGCTGCCTCTGGGCAGGGCTGTTTCCTCTGAAGCATTTGACTGGTTTAAACATTTCAGGTCCTGCAGAGCTTACTCTTCAGTCACCTCTAACCAGGGCCAGAAATGAAATATGAATAAGGAGGCAAGGTATTGGCAGTGGACCTTTCTACACAAATGTAATGAGGCAGAAAGTATCTTGGCTTTCTCCTAGGCTTTGTAGCTGGGACTCCTCACTTAAAATATCAAGATATCATAACGGCAGAACCATGCTGTATTTTCATTTAAGTACATTCTTCTCATCATAATCAACGCTCATGACTGGACAATGGGAATGTTACTAGAAGACATCCAAAATGATCACTTTTGAAGTAAGTGGTGGTAAAAGTTAGATAAATTATGACATAGTCCTGGAAGGTGGTAACATGATTATGAGGCAATGACTCTGCATTCAGATGTGAGATTAAAGTAACACTTATGGAGGCAATCCATCTTACTCTAAAGCCAAAGCTTCTGCAATAGAGGATAACAACATTATGCCCATGAGGCTGGCCATATGCTCTGATTAATCAAACTATTTAATTTAACCTATATCATTAGTATGAATATGGGCTAAGACAACCATTTATAACACTTTGTCCTTCTCCAGCATCTTTCCTTTATCCAAGATATCTACACTTTTCAGAAGAGGCAATGTATCCTGCTAATTAGAGGATGGTAGTAGAAATCAAGAGGCTAAATCATATACTTAATTCTGCCACTGGCTCCCTATGCTACCACAAAAAAAGACTTGCCTCAGCTTCCCCATCTGCATTACATTTCAATGCATGACCATTCCCAAAAGCACTGGGAGTCATACACCAGTAGGCACACAGAAGTGCAAAGAAAGGCATAATTAAAACCTTGGGCAAGTCCAGAGGTTAAGTATTATTATTGCTTATTTAGAGATGAGTATGTCATAGTACAGAGAGGCAACTTACGTGCACACAAGCACAGAGCAGAAACCTTTGCTCTTCCCCACTGTAATGTATTAGCTTGACTAGTTGAAACATGCTTTTATAAAAGGGAGGAAAATGCTATTGTTGGTTTTAACTACAATGTAGATTTACGGTCTGTTCACTTGGGACTCTGCCTGAAGTCCTCCATCCTGCTTCTAATTTACTTATGCAAACTGACTTCCACACAATTTTGTGTCAAAATGATATCAAATGACAACTGTGTAATGGTGTCAAAACTGGGCTCCCAGGGCTGCTAAGTCTACGAGCAAGTGGAGGGAACCTTCTTAAGCCCTGATGCTCTTACCTGTTCCAATATACATCACGTGGTAGAGAGTATCCTTCCCCTGAACAATATCAACCACCAGTTTGGAAAAACGAATGCTGTCCTGAGTCACATACGGATCTACAGTCACTGGCTGCACGACATCATTCATCAGGAATAAGCGCTGCGCATCCTGCAGAACTCTCTCCGTCAGGTTCTCGTTAGGGCTGTCATCATTCAGCGTCCCACACTAAACATGGAAGATTGAACTTCAGCACCTGCATTTTCTCCCCGCTCCAGCAGCCCAAGACCAAACCCTGAAATTCTTCTGGAAAGCCATGTCCCGTTGATTTCCTGGGGAGGTGGGTCTGTGTGAGGGTCACAGGATCAGGCTCTTAGCCTTATCACAGGTCCTTAGCTTAGCTTTGGCCTGTAGCCCACTCTTTAAAAATGTTTCTCACAGCTGGTCCACTGACCAGCAGTGTGGTGTTTCATTCCCTTGGGACACCAGAAGGGCAAAAGGCATTAATAAACCAAGGAGAAAAAGAAAGAATTAAAACTAGCTGTAGAAAGACTTAAAGTCAGCAGTGGAAAGTTCTTGCGGTGATAAATCCTTGAAGTATCTCAAATAATCTTCAGTGTCTACCTGGCACCTCAGTCTGTACAATGCACAAAACCTAGAGGTTAAAAACTCTGACAAATGGGTTGGTTTTGTGTCAAAGAACCCAGCTCACCACAATGCTTTTTCCTGATGTGCTGCCATCTGACTAGACCCCTCTGGTTTAATGTGAAGCAAGGCAGGTTAGCCGCTAGCTCCCCCCTTCCCACACGCAGCTCTTCTATGCTCATAGTGAATGGCAGATCAAGCCGTGTCCATACATCTTCAAGCACCAAGAAGCGTACTGAAATAGGACTCAATGCCCTTGTCCATCCAGAATAGGGGGGAAGAAGAGTGCTCATCTCGTGTCTTTTAAACACCATCGTAAGTCCTATCAGGTAGATAGTGCATTTTAAAGCCTGAGTTTCTATCTCACACTTATCTCTAGAATTCAGCATTTTCAACAGCCAACGCAAGATTAAACTTTCCATGCAGTTTTGTGATCCATGTCAGTAGCCAGGGCTGGATCTTCACTCTTCCCCACCATGCCATGCATGGTGGGCAGACAATTTATTACTCCAGAAGACAGATGGGTGAGTGGTTATTTATCTTGCTCTAGGCTGTGGGAGTCAGTGGTATAACTAGAAATCTTGCCAACTCCCATACTCAGTTCATGGACAAATTCATTTCTCACTAAGCTCATACCCAAGTAATTTTGTTACACAAAAAACCCTACAGATTTCTTTCTCTTAATTTTGGGTCCAGGTGTTTCGGAAGAGAAGTTAGTATACAGCATATTAGGATGTTGATTTACAGCACTCCAGCTACAGTGCACAAATATCCCATGTGCATACTCTTGATATGCATCAAAGCAGCTCTGCAGTGTGGCTACCTTTCTCAGGTGCACCATGGAAAGCTTCTCTTACCAATGTGCTAAAATGAGTTGACAGAAATTCAGCTCGCCTTTACAGAATGAATACAGATCCTAATGGCTGGTGTACTAAGCCCTACAATATTTTGGAGCTTGTGTTAAACAGGTGAACAGGGTGATACTAATTCCCACCATGCATGAACATGCTCACTTTTTTATCAATTTAAACATCTTCCTGAGTAGCCAGACTAAGGAAACATCAGTGGGGATTTGGTGTGTCCTCAAGTGGGTTTTAATGTTTTTTTCTATTGCAATTCTTTTAGCTCATGACTTATCCCACATTCTAAAGAGTTTTTAAATCTCACTTCTGCTCTATCCAATACTTCTGGTTTACACCACTGTCTTGCTTTGGATGCTCTTCTCCCCACTCACTCTCCTTTCTAGAGCATCACTGAAGGAGTAGTCTCAATGGCAGGGAAATTTCTCATCAAGTCACAGATAATCCTTTTGGTCTATTGGCAGCCTGTGTGCTGACACAGCACCCCTCTGGTTTGGTTTTATTTTGTTTTGTTCTAATATCCTGATTATCTACATAGCCCTGATCCTCTATATCCTTCGGTATTTCTCCTTCCTCTCTGCAAGAAAAAAAAAATACTCTGGCATTCTTCCCTCATCTTCCTTTGTGAACACTGAGGCAAAAAAATTAGTTTAATTTTTTTCAATATCTGCCTCTTCTGTCACTAAATTACCCTTGTCATCTCCTGAAGGCCCTTCACTGACCTCTTGTTCCTCCTGTACTTGAAAAACATCTTAATCTCTTCTTGCAATCTTCCTTTTGTCTGCCACATACCTCCTTTTCCTTTGCTTATTTTACTCTGACCCTTTCCTTTCATGTTGCTGCTGCAATCTTTGCACTCCACATTTTATCTGATACTTTTTGCTACACGGAAACGCTTTCCAAAGTCTTTTTCTGTTCCTCCTGGGTTAGCCCCGCAAGGGACAGAAAGTCCTTGATTCTCAGTTCTTAGTCAACTGTAATATTCCCTTTAAAATAAAAATAAAGAAAAATAATAACGATTTTAAAAAATGATGTTTGGCACGGCTGGGCCTTCAGCAAAGCTTCGTTTCCTGGTTTTGAGTGCACCAAGCTGAGGGATGATCGAGAGCCCAAACCTGTTCCACCTTGTACAGGCAGAAGCCGCCACTCCGGTGCCATGAGGGTATTCAAGGGGAGAAATCAGGTTCCTCAGCAGGACGCCAAGCATGTTCCTGCTTGCACTGTGGACATGTCTCCCATCTGCTCTCACTGTGATTTCAGGTGACTGCGGAGTCCTTTTTGGAAAGTCCCTGGCATCACCAGCTTAGAGGCAGATGGCATTTGCAGGCAGCCTCAGCACCTTTGCCATCGTAAAGGAGAGCCAGATTCACACAATCGGGATGAAAGGATTCACCATGGGGAAGTGAGGACAGAAAGATAAGTCCATCCTCCCTAGGATTTCGTAAGTGGGAAGGGACTCAGCTGTGAAATCGGCTCATGCTTCAGAAGACTTGGGTTCAGTGGGGCTGTCACATGCATAATCTGCACCTCACTGCCTGAATCTGTACATAAAGCAACTGAAGTTGTTCTGTAATTTTCAAATTGGCCTTAGCTGATAATCCTGGAAAGGTGCTCATTCATAAAACTAAAGATTTTTAAGGTGAGACAGAACACCTGTGACCATCCTCATGTGCCCCCTTCTAGCAGTTACTGCTGCAAAATGTCCAAAACTTCTGGCTACTGTGTCTTGGAAAGACATCCGTCTTGCACTGAAACACTGTTACCCTTAGAGGCCCTAACAAGTGATGGAAAATTCATCACATCAAAACACAGCCACAGTGTTTAATTACCTTTCTTGTTTAAAAATACAGGTTGTCTCCACTCTAGTTTGTCTTTGTCCAGCTTCAGCTTTCAATCCTTCCCAATTTCGATGGGGACATGTGTCTACATCCCCTTGTGAGGATCACATTCTCAGAGTTCAAGTGTCAGTGATGAGCGTAACAGAGATCGAAATTATTCATTATCATAAGAAGTCTGAACATTCTTATTATTGGTAAAGCCATTCCATTTTTGCCACAAACCCCATGGTCCCAATAACATGTGGCAAGGCTTTCCAGAGACTAGAACACTCATAAATGTGGAGAAATACAATTTATCTGCACCATGGCTCTACCTGGACAAATGTTCACAAATGAACCCATTGGAGTGACAGAACGTAAAAGGGACTGGAGTAAGCTGGAGGGCAGCAGCAATACCTGGAAATTAGGGATGGGGTTTAACGTTGGCAGCCAGGCTGATCTTGGGTTTTCTTGGTAACGGAAAGGGCCATTAAATGCCTGAGTAATGGCACTCAAATTGAAGGCACACACTGCTGAGGCAGCTATGCTGTTTCTGGAAAAGGGGAGAAAAAAAAATCAATTTAATCATTAGAACATTGGCATTTTCATCATAACAGACATCAGGCTCCACTGAAATAAAACACATGTAAATTGCTGGGTAGATGTACAGTGATACCAATCTCATAGGCAGTAAAAATAAATAAATAAATTATAAAATGCAGAGGGTTTGCATGACAATTTTGAGAATGAATTTTAAGCTTGCTTTTAAAATGTCTGTGATTTAAGAGCCATGGAAGCAGTTTGGACAAGAAAGGTGAATGCAGTTTAATTTGCATGGATTGTGTCTGTTACATTTTAATTTTTTTTTAACAACTCGTCTATCTTCATTGGTTACAAACAACCTATTTTTTAATCTCTTGGTGTTTCTCAAGGTGAAATTTTGTTTTGTGTTCCAGAAATCTTCAGCTATAAAATATATCCCCTAATATTATATACCTGTAACATATATATAAATAAAATATGCACATGCATGCAGGGGAAGGGAAAGGGTGACACTGCGAACCAGGCTGGTTGTTACAGCAGCTCAGCATGCAAAATGGTCTTGCTAATACGTGTTTTCAATGATCACAGTTCTCTTCTTTGTGTTCCCAGCTGGGAATTGCATCTGTCTCAGGCAGACGGTTCACCATGCACGCACTAGCCAGGGGAGGCATGGCTAGGGAAATGCTGCTGTAGAAAAGACTCTTTGGAAGGGAATTTGTTTTAGGGATGCTCTGCTGCCTGGTCAGACTCACACACAGATCAGCTGGCCTTTGCTGTCCCATTTCAGTCATGGAGAGCCTTTTCTGGAAGGTCCTGAGCAGGATCAGCTCCTTTTACCTCAAAAGGGTTGGAGGGTGCTTCCCGGATGGTGAGGGCACCTCAGGGAAGCTGGCCCAAATAGGGACCTGTGCTATGTGGTAACCCAAAATTCAAAACTTCTCCCTGCTCTCCCCTTCCCCCCTGCCTCGTCTTTTTTTTTTTTTTTTTTTTTTTTTTTCTAAAGAAAAGAGCAACATTCAGAGAAAAAGATATCAGAATAAAACTAAAAATAGAGCTAGCACAAGAGACTGACTTGTCACAGTGCCTTTTAAATAACCCAAGCTCTGCTGTATGTATTTTTCTGCTAATTAAAGCAATTTGAATTCTCTGAAAAGAACACATTTTTTAAACTAAACCAATAATTACACTCTCTTGCACAAAAAAGAAAAAGCCTTGCTCCACAAACTCAGGCTGGAAAGCAGAAGAACAGATTCTTTCACAGCATATTTCTTCCAAGCAATACAACATCAGGAAGAGCTTCCTGCTTTGTCTTCTCATTCTCCACTCTGCCCCTGTCCCTTACATCCCCAGAGTGATGGAGTAGCTCACTTTGAACATGTCAAAGCAACACCAGGCAAACCTTTCTTCACTTTTGTCTGAACACTGCTGACGCAATGCATGCTCACAGACGGCAGCTCTTAGGGCCAAGCTAATGATGGATCATAAGTAGATGCCTTGAGGCACACATGGCAAAAAAAAAAGGGAGAATGAGAAAGAAATGAAAAAGGAAGAGAAAGAATATAACCCCACTGATCTAACAAAAACACATATTTTTTAATTATATTTTTACAGCCCTGCTAAGGACTCCACAGTTTAGCCCTTTCCCTTTGCTAGACTGGAGAAAGGAAAGAGGTTTTCCATTAAATATGTGGCCTGTTTTCCTTTCCATCTGTGGCCTGGCATATTTCCCATCCTTCACTATGAGAAGCTTGATCCCAGTCTCAAGCCAGTGACATCAACTTGTGCAGCTGGCTCCTCCGTTGTCCTGGTGAGAGGTGCAATCTCTTTTATTCCCGCCTCCTGCATCCTGTGATTAACTAGGTGGTTTAGAGAGTAAGTTAAGTTCAAGGAGATTTTAACATTGTCTTTACTACCGCCTAGAAAAATTTTAATAAAAATATCTTAAATATTTCATCAGCAGCTTCCCCAAAAAGCTCTCTTTCACT